CTTCCTTATTTTTCTTCCCTTCCTTATTTTTCTTCACTTTTGTCTTTTCCCCTTACCTTTTCCCTTTCCCCTTTTCTCTTTTCCCCTTTTCTCTTTTCCCCTTTTCTCTTTTCCCCTTTTCTCTTTTTCCCTTTTCTCTTTCCCTTTTCTCTTTTCCTTTCTCTTTTCCCCCTTTCCCTTTTCCCCTTCCCCTTTCTCTTTTCCCTTTTCTCTTCTCTTTTCCCTTTTCCCCTTTCTCTTTTTCTCTTTTCCCCTTTCTCTTTTCCCCTTTCTCTTTTCCTTTTTTCCCCTTTTCCCTTCTCTTTTCCCCTTTTCCTTCTCTTTTCCCCTTCCTTCTCTTTTCCCCCTTTTCCCCCTCTCTTTTCCCCTTTTCCTTTTTCTTTTTTCCCCTTTTCCCTTTCTCTTTTCCCCTTTTCCCTTCTCTTTTCCCCTTTTCCCCTTTCTTTTCCCCTTTTCCCTTCTCTTTTTCTATTTACATTTGTTTTTGTCTTTTGCACTGTTATCAAAGTCACTTAGAACCCACATAATACTGTAATAATAGTGTTTTTCTTATGATCTTGATTTAAGCATTTGTTTATTTCACTATTTCTTTGAACATTTTTCATATAATAGGATATTCTGATGCTAAAAGAGAAAGAATTTGGAAGATAATTATTCTGTTACATCTTCATCTTTTATGAATCCTGTCAAATGAGAATATTGCAAGAGACAATGTACAGTGAAACACAGATTAGGATATTAGTTACCATAGCACCGGCCATTGCGTGTGAATTTGTTTCCATTCTGTCTTGCTAGAATCCCGCTATCGGCCAAATTTGACTTTGTCTTATGAATATTAATCATGGTAATTATTTCCTTCTGAATTCTTCAGCGATGGCAACAGTTCCACATCAGATTAAAAGAGCTCCTCCTATGAAAGAACTAAAAATGAGTTGCATTTGGTTTTAAGCTTCTCAAAGATTACAAGCATGCAAGATAAGACACTTGATAATGACCAGTGTACCATACAAAATATTGTTAAAAATGAAAGATATTGATTTTAAGGAGCTACTAATTAAAGCTTCTTAGGCATTACAAAATAATTTTCCAGTTCCTTGTCAATGTAAAAAAAAAATAAACTTCCTATCTTAACTAGAAGGAAACATTCTATTTTAAAATAATGCATACATTTATTTTACTAAAGATTACTGTCGTCTATTTGAGTTAAGCTTCACATATCAGCTGTCAAGTGTTTCATTTGATTCATTTCTTTTTTTGTTTTAACTTTTCCAGTTCAGTGTTACTGTTAGATGATCCTCGTGCCCACTGATAATCAGGTGCCATTCCAGGCATCTACCAGTAGTCAAAGCCTTTCTTCTGCCAAACCCATATTCCTTACCAACTGACATACAGTGTCTCTAATAACTTCATCCGTCTCTCTCTCTCTCTCTCTCTCCAACAAACCTCTTTTTAGCAGCATGCTAATTTCCAAGTACAACTCTACAAGCCTGACTCACTATCTTTATTGATCTGTGCTGTTGCCTTTATCAACTTTAATATTGTTAGCTTTCCTCACAAAGCATGATGTGTTTTCACTTTATCTCACTTGAATTCTTCTTGTAATTAACAAGCTCCTATATTGTAAAGGGACCAAATTTTGCCTCCCCCACCCCATTTTCTTTACAAAAGTGGAAAAATTGAATTCTGTAAAAGAATGATTATTGCAATCTTGTCAGTGCATTATGGTCAAGATGTATGATGGAATTGTCTTTTTTTTTTTTTTTTTTTTTAATTAAAATAAAAACTGGCCATTGTCTCATTTAAAAAGTAATAAAACAATTGAGATTCTGACATTCTTATGATCCTAATATCAATTTAACTTGATTGAATGAACAATGTTTATGTATTTTTTGATGATAATATACTGAATATTTCTTGTTTTGTTTTTATACTTCTTGAGCAGTTTACATCGTTTCTGTATGCATACAAATATAGACATTAATGCATGGTGTGTGCGCACACACATATATATATATATATATATATATATATATATGCATGTGTGCGTATCATCCAGACAGACTTTTTCACTGTATCATAGCTCATCAGTGTGGCTAGACATCCACTTGCCTCAAGCCAGGATAGAAACCCAACCAATTTGGCATCAGTTGGAGATTTATCCCCTGAGCTATCAGCTCCTGGCAGAGAGGAAGGTGAATTTTTATGTATTTTAGAATAAACATGCCAGTGACTCAGTGTACAAATTTGTGCTTTTCCTTCTAAAATGCTTTTCCTTCTAAAGTGCTTGACCGAATTTTATTTTTTCGGGGGCATATATATGTGTCATCCACAGACAGACTGTTTTGCTGTATAACAGCTCATCAGTGTGGCTACACATCTGATTGCCTTAAGCCAGGATTGAAACCCAACTGATTTGACATCAGTCAGAGATTTTCTCACTGGGCTATTGGCTTCCAGCAAAGAGGAAGATGAATTTGTGTGTATGCTTTCTTCAGGTGTCTTGTCAATCCAAGCAACCTTCAAGAAATTTTGATAATAGCTTAGTGGATTAAAGTTTTGGTTTGCAAATTTAGTGGCATAATGATTGTGAGTTCAATCCCTATGCTGAGTAGTACAGACTTAGCAGAAAGAGGGCAAGCAATAACCAAGCTCTACTAAAAGGAACAAAGTAAGATGCTCCTAGACATGGATAGTGGAATAGGAACATTATATTGTAGATTAAATAAAAGGTTGAGCTTGAAATAGCCAGAAGAATATCTGGATTGACAGACACCTGATGAAGGTTGGAGAGGACAATGGCTGAAATATTGTGATAATAAGAGATGAGGATATTAGTCTTGCACATTGTTTATTTTCAATGTCTTCTTAAAAACACATCTCCTACTGATTATTCAACTTAAAAATAGCTGTAAGTGAAAGATCACTTAACAAAACTTAGTTAGGAATATGCTTAATTGGTAAGAATATTATTAAAGCCGTCATGACATGTTATTTGATTATTATATTTTTATATTTCTCTCATTCATCATAACTGACGACTAGTAATGTAGACAGTACAGGAAAGAATGTTTTTATGGCTTTGTTAGGCTGTCTTCAGTTAAATGAATGTTTATGTGTTGTTTATGTAACACGTTTTCCTAACGAAGCCATCAACATTTTTAGAGAATTAAGAAAAAAAAAACATCCTTACAAAGCAGATATAAATCCATTATTCAAAATTCTGAAAGACTGAAAACAATTCCTTCCTTTTTTTTTATTTAGGAAAAAAAGTACATAAATAAATGCAAATGGAGTGATTGCTTCTTATGAAATTATCCAAAATGTTATGGAAACTGAAAGTGCATGTAGTGTTGCTGAAAATATATGGCTGGCTTACCTTTGAAATTCTCAGGGAAACTGCATTACATCATAATTTGTTAAGTGATTTACAAGCATTCAACTCAAGTAATGATTGATTTCAGTCAAAAATTGATTCAATGCAATCTGATATAGAAAAGCTCATAAAAAAGCAGAAAACTCTCAATTCAATTTGATGAATCAAGTAATAGTGAAGATATTCTTCTGGCATCCATTCATTTTATAGTTGAAGACTGTAAATTGGGCAAACAATCTGCAATGTTATTGGTCCTACCTAGCATCTTTCATTTCAGTCACTTTCCCATTGCTGGAATTTAGCTTTGCTGTAACTTTTGTATAAATAATTTTATAGTAATTGTTTGGATGAACTATGCTCTATGTTATCTAGGCTATATTAATTTAAGCACAGTATTAAATTGGTGGCAAAGTATCATCATCATTTTACAGTCAAAATGGCTATATGTCACCAGAACTTCTATGCTAAGAGTTTCTTTTCTCACACTTCTTGCTTGTAGAAATCACTTCCGCCTTCTTATTTTCCAGTTTTCTTAATTTCTGTTTTTTTTTTTATTGTTCTTACTCTTTAATAGTTTTTCTTAGTCTTTAACACTCAGTAACCCCCTGTGTGTTAGTGGCTCTGTTTCCTTGGAATATTGTTTGTCTTTGGGAATCAGGAAAATTGAATCATCTATTTCTGAGGCTTTGGGATTTTTGAGTGATGAAATACTTTTGAAAACTTAGTATCCATAAAAAATGACGGCATTCAATGACTGGTGGGAAAACATAAGGAATGTATTTTACTCACATCAATAAAGTACTTATCATAAAGTGAAGTAGTCTAATTAGTCCACTTTTTCATGAATCATTAGTCATATTTATTAAACAATCATTAAAATTAAGTTTCATAGCAAGAATGTCTGGAAGTTTTATCATAGCAAAAAACAGCACATTAAACTTATTTTGCATGTTGGTTATTGGAATCCAATGTGCAAAATAAGTGTCTTTCAAAAAGAAATGGGTTAGCTAGATTTGTAAGCCTATTTAATTTAATAGTTGGTTTCATGGAAATTGTAGGGAAAGTAGATTTGGTAGAAGAAATAACAAATCACAAATGTGACATTTACTTTTTGGTTTGGTTATTTTCTAAGGCTCAATAAAATTTCACTTGAAAATAATGTACATTGCAAAAACTATAAACAAATTCTCAAAGATATCATTAAGAGATCAGGCAATTTTTGAACCAACACTTTAAAAGTATTTGGACATTTTTCAAATCAAATTAAAATTTATGCAAAATGTCATTGAAAGACTTTCAGGCATGTTTTCTTTTGACATCAAACTTTAGATATTGGATATTTTTGATTGCAATATAAAATCCTTTATTGAAAATGCTTGAAATAAATGCATTGAACTAAAACGCAATAATGAATGCACAGATAAATTTGAAATAAATGGAATAACAAAATTGTGGCTGTCAGTTACACCTCAACAATTATTACCCTAAACATGTAATGATCTGAAAGGACTAAAGTTGTGCTTAACAATTTCATATTTGGTTGAAAATGGCTTTCATTTAGTCAATAAAATATTGACTTCAGAAAGTGGAACTGATATATACATGAAAAGAGACATAAGTTCTAAACATGGAAAATTTTGCAGCAAAGCATCAAGCACAAAGGTCAGATTTAACAAACAGCATAGATAAAATGTCTTTTTAGTTTCAATTAACCATGAGCTTTTTGGGGTGGGGGGGTGGAGTCAGTGATTTGCTTAAAAAAACAATATGAGCAAAATATGGAGTGTAGTTGAAAGAACATTGTGCACAACATGATTAGCAAAATATTTCTGTCAGAGTAATTTGATAGAGCATGATGGGATAAAGGTAGTATATAGCTATGGATGTTTGAAATGTGTGTGTGTGTGTGTGTGTGTGTGTGTGTGTGTGTGTGTGTGTGTGTGTGAGTTCATAGTGAGAAGAAAAAATAGTAAGCCAACACTGAATGAAACTTTTCTATATGCATCATCCTTTCATTGTGTGGACAATCATGGCTTTCTAAAACTTTTTATTCCTTGTGGCCCTTAGCAGTTTTTCTCCCTTTACTAAGGATCCCGCCTACCATTCAAACAAGCTCATCAGGTAGGTGGCTAACTACCTTCTATCTCTCTTGTCCTTAATATACCCTGTGAGGATTAAGTTTTCCAAGCCCTCCTTCCTCATTATGTGTCCAAGGAACTTCGGCTATCTCTTCCTGATTCTGAGTAGAAGTGTTCTTTTGTTACCATTTTCTTTAAGACTTTCTCATTGCTTACTCACTCCATCCATGGATTTTTCATTGTCCTTCTGTAGAACCACATTTCTGTTGCTTTTACTTTTCTCTTCATCTGCGAGAAGATTGTCCCATATTCACTGCCAGAAAAGAGGATGAATATCACACATCAATGGATTCACCTAATTTTTTTAAAATCATTTTTTTTTGTGTGTGTATGTATGTATTTGTTAGAAGTCAACTTCAATAGAAAATTCATTTTGAAAATCAAAATTGTTCATCATTTCATCGTGATTAAGATATTGGTTATGATCCTGGCTGGGAATGACTGCAAAACAATTTCCCCTCCCCAATTTATAACCATAAACACATAAATGCATGCTAAGATTTCTTTTTTTTCATCTGACTTAGTCCCGGTCTCTAGTGTCTTGAAGTCAGAATGCTACATTCACTTGTTCAAACTTGTTTTTGTATGTCAACCCCAATTCTTAGTTTGTGAACTTTTTGCCATATTATTGTTGCTTTGCCTTAATTACTGTTAATTTGCCTTGAATATATTTATTTGCTTGCTTTATATTATTTTTTGCTCAGTTTTTTTCATTTCTTTTCTCTTCTCTTGTTGTTTATTGCAAATGTTGTCAATTTTATTTATTGGGCAGTTCTGCCATTTTACATTTAACCATTGGCTACTCACTCTACATAAGATGATTCAAAATTGAGTAGATGGATTTTAAATCCAGGTTATCACTTGTAACAGGATTACTGAAATAGTTTAGTGATTATTCTAGGTTTTTATCAAGGCAAAGGGAATCATAAGTGTTTATATTGGTGGTTTGTTGATTGGTTAAATGCATTCTATTTATTTATTAGTAAGAAAAGAAAATTACAATTCAAATTTGTTAGCGTTATATTTTGCACAGACTTGTAGTAAATATAGTTTAAGAATTCTCCTTCACTTCACATTTCAAGGTTAGAATACATCTTTAGAAAAAATATTTTTCAAACAACCACTTTTTTTGTTTTCTCAGTAGTTATATTTTCTCAAAAGTTGATTGCATCTTGAACAAATGCTAATTCCAAACTAACATTTAAATGAAAACATCTCAAAAGAAAACCTCAATTTCTTGTACCTTTGTACAAATGGGAAAATCGAGCCAAGATCTTTTTTACAGTTTGTAATGAGAAGAAATGCTTTCTGCAATTCCTTGTTAGAGAATTTTCTAGAACAGATGAGTTTCTCCAATGAGAATTATCTCGTTGGAAAAAATCTGTCATGATGCATACATTCTTTTAGTTTTGTACAGTAATCCAGAGTCCAAGGTCTCTTTGGCAGATGTGATGTCTAATGCACATATTAATCTCTGTGGATTATCTAATAAGATTTTGATTATTGGTATATGCACTTGAAGGGGTATTTCCTTTTTAGTGATTTTTTTTTTTTTTTTTTTTTTCTTTTTCTTCTTCTTCTATTCATCTGATTGCAAAGCCTTTCAGGGTAGACGTGTTTTTTTATTCGGTAGAGGGAAATTGAAAGAGAGCTGTAGGCAGAATAGTTCACACTAGATTTGAAAACTCCAGAAGGTTTTGCTTTTAAGGATGTTGAAATAATAGATGCCATATTACCATATTTCCCAAATGTCCGATAACTGAAGCAACCAGTCTTTGATTAAGACTTTTAAATGGGCTTAACAATTTTAAAACAACAATACTAATTTAAAATGGCAAAACTAATTTATTAGGCTTTTCTTTTCAAAATAGAAGATCAGTTTATTACTTAAAATAAAACTAATTGTGTCTGTACTAACGCGTATTTACTGCAACTTCCTTACAGTTGTTTACTGATCGTTTTGCAAAGTTCTGATGCTGTTGTACATTTCTCTTTATCTAGCAACATGGCTATTCATTTGAGACTTTGAAATTCAAGAAAATTCATCCAAATTGATGCCATTTGTTTACATCTGCCTAAAACAAGTCATCTTTCATGCTAACTGTGTAGATAGGTGTTATTATTCTGCAATTAGACTTTTACATTCCAATGAGTATTTATCTTAATTACAAATCTTGGTCAATAATGTGAGACACATAATGCATATATACTCACATGTACAAATTGACTTAGGAAAATAAATTTGCAAAAATTAGTCATTTTTAAACCAATTTCTTGTATGTTTATTTATAAGATCTCTATGCATACTTTTCCATCAATCTAGTTAAAGCGAAAAATGTTTTAATCATTTTGGTTTTGCAAAAACTGAATTGAATGTAAAGAAATTATTTGCTATAACTGCCAATGGAATTCAGTATTGAAGTAAGAAAAAAAGTCTTTTTGAAGATTTTTCTTTCTCTGTGAATCAGAACCTGAACCATAAACTTTGAACAGCAGAAAACCAAAAAAGTTATCCAAATTGTCTTTATGACAAGATAATTAAAGATCATTTACCATAACCAGGCAAGTATCATTTCAAAACGGCTACCTTGCAAAGTGTCCATTTACTTCATATTTTGATTTTTATGTCTGTATGAAGGCATTGTATAAAAAGTGTTTAACTTTTCTTCAATTTAAATAAATTTACATTCCTCTTGTTTAATATTTTTTTTAAGATTTGTGATAAAATCCAAGGTTTAAATCACTCTATTAAAAGTTGAACATCACTCAAAATAATGTCACTTTGTGAGTAATGACATCTTGAGGAAGACTACTTCTGTATTTATTGACTTTTGACTGAGAAGAATTTGGTGTTTTGTTTAAGGAACAAGAATGCATGTGAATGTCTTTGTGGCAGAACAAAGATATGTGACCCCTCCCTGACTGTGCATTCCTTCTTCAAATTCATGCCATAAAATCATCAAGGGATAGAAAAAAACAAATTTATTTCATCTTCCAATAACATCTAATATTCTTGTTTCTTTAAGACGTTTTGTTTTAAATAAAAAATGACAATAATTTTGCTTTTTATTTTAATATAATTTTTTTAAGATTTTGCTATTTTGAATTTAGTTTTTCATATATTTTTTATTTCCTTTTTTTCTTTCTATATTTGGACAGTTTTTGATAATTTTTTTTCTTTTTATTTTTTTCTTTTAAATGTTTTTAATTAAAAACAAATTGTTAGGTCTCTATCATTAAAATAAAAAAAAAAGTTCAATGTTAAAAAGCAAGGAAACTTTCATTTGAATTCTGTCTTTTCTTCTCTCTCCCTGTCTCTGCTCTGCTAATCCTGCAACTCTTTCTGACCTGTGTTCTCTCCCCTCTTTTTCTTTTCCTTGCCTCTCCCCCTCCTTTTTTCTTTTCCTCTCCCCCTCTTTTCCCTCCCCCTCCCCCTTTTTTTTCTTTTCCCTACCTCTCCCCCCTTTTTTCTTTTCCTTACCCCTCCCCTCTTTTTCTTTCTTTTCTTTTCCCCCTCCCCCTCTTTTTTCTTTTCCTTACCCTCCCCTCTTTTTTTCTTTTTTCTTTTTCTTTTTCCTTACCTCTCCCCTCTTTTTTTTTTCTTACCCCTCCCCCCTCTTTTTCTTTTCCTTACCTCTCCCCCTCTTTTTCTTTTCCTTACCTCTCCCCCTCTTTTTCTTTTCCTTACCTCTCCCCCTCTTTTTCTTTTCCTTACCTCTCCCCCCCTCTTTTTCTTTTCCTTACCTCTCCCCCTCTTTTCTTTTTCCTTACCTCTCCCCTCTTTTTCTTTTCCTTACCTCTCCCCCTTCCTAGTTCTCTATTGTTTCATTTCACCTCCTTCACTCTTCTTTCTTTTTCTTCTCTTTTTTCACCCTCATCACCTTTTCCTTCTCCTACTCTCTTTCCTTATCTTCTCATCCTTTCTTGTACATACATTACATTCTTGAATTTGTAGTACTTTCTGTACATTGTTTTTTATTTGCTACTTTCATGCTTACAAGTCCTTTCACTAAGCCTTTCCTCTCAATCCCCCAACTTTTCTCTCTCTTATGCATATATGCCGTAAACTATCCACTGAAACACCTTGCTATGCACACATGCAACCAACACATACAAAAATGTCAGTGGCTGTTAACTATGTTCTCGAATGTACTTTATTAAAGTAGACATGTACACTGCACTCTTAACTTGAAACATAAAATACCCTTAATATACATACGTGTATACCTATAGCTGCACACCAACATGTGGTGTTCTAAGCATTGATCTCCTTGCATACAAATGTTTTTTCAGCTCATGAAACGTCAAGCTTATTCCTACCTAATAAAAAAACTCTGCATATCCTTGTACACAAAGCAAATGTCAAGTTTAGGTTGGTGAGCTTATTTAAAGAAATGCTCTGTTGTTTTTTTCTAATAATGATTTAAATCTCCGATAACATTTTCGAACAGATGTTTCATATTAATAATTAACAGAAGACTTAGTAAATATCTCTTCAACTATTTCATTAAATATTGTTTTTTTTATCAAAGCTGATTCTATATTTTTGCCCTCCACCCGTACGGCTGATGCCATCACCCCCAGGAGAGCAACTCATTGTGTCCTTCTTGCTCTCACATTTTCTGCTGAGATGAAGTGGAATAATTGTATCAGTTGCTAGGACTGCTTGCTTGAAAAGTTGGTCCACTGTCATGCCAGACAATTTTTCTCATCAGAATACATCTTAACACATTTATAAATCTACCTTTTGTGCATACATTAAATATTGCTGCCATATCTTGTCTAATGACTCTGGCTGTATATTTCAAGAGTCTCAGTAAAATCCCCAAAATAATAATGTTATTGACCTTGACCTGGCATCTTGACTTCAGTCACTTTCCCTCCATCATGATGTGGCTTCCCTTTGCATTTTTCTATAAATATTTTCATGGCAGTTGTTCTAATGAGTTCTCCTCATTGATACCTCAACCGCATGAATTTAAGCATGCTACTAGATTGGCAACTAGGTTTCACCATTTTACTATTGAACTACTTAGATGTAACTAACTTCTATTTTCCTGCCACCTACAATCTTCAAATATTTAAATGTAACATCAATTGCAATCTTCTGTCCTCATGATTTCTGTTCTTTCCTTGACCATTCTTCTCACTCACTAAAGTCTTTTCATTCTCTTTCACTCCCAGTAATCGTTTATGTCTTAGTGGCATTATAACTTTGGGTGAAATTAAAAAAAATAAATTCATTACATTGGTATATTTAATGTTGTAAAATAATTCCATTTTTTACTTTTTATTCCTGTTCCTTATAAAATTAAAGAATTCTAGAAAATTATATTGCAGATAAAATATAATAGCATTTGTTCTATTAAGAACTTGATTTCTAGAAAAGCTTTGTTCACAAGCTAGAATTTTTCTAAAAGATCTTCATTTGAAACATATACAAGCAGTGCTACAAGCAGATTCTAAACCAGAAGCCCATACATTTGTTAATTGCAAAGTTCTGTTTCTGTTGAATTTTAGACAAAACCTTTGTTCATTTAGGATAAAACAAAGTTTGATAGAACATTATGTGAGTAAAACAAAACAAAAAAAATGGTAGGCAGAAATTGGTTGAAAGCAGGCATAAAGCAGTTACCTTGCTAGTCAATATCAATATACCATAAGCAAAAGAGTGAATGAATATATAGATCACAATATGAAAACGTGACATTTCCTCAATACACATATGTATTAAAATATATAAACACATTTGCAAATATATTCAAAGACACACACACACACACACACACATATATATATATATATATATATATATGCCCTGGAACCAATGCAATAACTGAGAATCTTTGTGAAAATGGTGGTGGTGTGAAAATCTCTATGGAACCTCTAACTCCTGGAAAGAGGAGAAAAAGCTAAAAGCAAACAACATTTGGCAAATATTGTGAAATGGAGGTTGACTCTGTTGTTGGTCAAATCAGGCGGGAAATCAACACAAGTGTCAGCAAATGCAATTAATTTGATGGTAACAAACAAAGAGAAGTGTCTAAAGTGTCTATTAATTAGCAACAATATGAACTTAGGACAAGTTTACTACTCGTAGGTTAGTTTTCTGATGTTTTCTATAAATTCAATGTTGTCACTTTCAGTTCTAAGCCATTTTAAAATGCTGAAAAATGCTTTCAGTGAGTTAAGTCTGAGAGTTGTGGCAAAGGTCATCCTGCTTTGAACATTATGGACTGGCACTACAGAATCATAAACAAAGACCTGTACTAAATAACAAACCACATCACTTGAGGACTACCAGCAGTACATGTAACTTGAAGAAAAAATGAGATAATCAAAATGTTAACATTCTACACCACGTCAAACAGAAGGTTTGGAAGGAAACCTCATCAATGATGGAAAGAACAATAACAGCTACCTGACTTGAAAAACCTGTTTTCCTATAAAAAAAAAAATGTTTTAAGAGAAATATTTTATAAATTTCAAATTTATGTATTACTGACTGCCCATTCAATGAATACTGGATATTTCCTTATAAGGAAACATCTAATATTACCATTACACAAATTTTGGAATTTTCATGTACAAACACACACATATATATATATATATATATATATATATATATATATATATAATATATTTTTCATAAATTTAATAAATTGGAAAACTCTTATTGAATCAGTTATGCATTTTGACATCGTTAAGTAGGCTTCCTCAGATCAGAACGAAAGACATATGTTTGTGTGTGTGTGCGCTTCCATATTAAATCCTTAATACTTTTTCTGCCAAGCTGATGCCTCTTGATTGGAATGAAAGAACAAAACTGTGACTTTTGTATAAAAACCATTATTTTAATTCATACTGTTTTTTTCTTTTTAATTTTTTTGTTTTGTCAAAATTTGTTTTCATATTCTCACAGCTTTCTGCATTGAATCCATATCCAAATTCTTCAGAACAGGTTGTCAAATTTATGAAACCTTGTCTGGATTCTATATCCTATTTTTTACACATCACCTATATATAAATACACTGTCAGAATTTATTATTTAATTCAATATTTGCATAGTAAAATATTTAATAACTTTAAGTAACTGATGTTGATAAAATTTTCAGTGTATGAGATTATGAATTTCAGCTTAGAATATACATCCTTCTTAAAAAATATTGATAACTTGTTTGGGTGGGGTGAGGTTCTGCTAAATTATACAAAAAAAAAATTTTTTTTTTTAATTTTCTTATATGTTGTAGCATACCTACGGACAATAATGGGTATGTCCCCATTCACTTAAATACAGTAGTAAACACTGTATGTTGGTCTGCAGTTGGAGATTCGTCTCCAGCTGTGCTGGTCAAACTTTCTGCCTCTGGGCAGAGAGGACACCCAGACAAGGCTATGTCAAAGACCAGAGTCTCATCTCGGGGAAACAGCTATCCTACCCCATTTTATAAGGGGTCTATGGGGAATTTTTGACCAAAACTACAGGCTCAGATACCCCCACATTAAATTTAGCCTTGTGCTACATCTGACTGCGTGGGGCAGTTGGTAGATATCTTGCTGTTGGAGATTCATTGTGGAATTCACTAGACTCACTTCTAGCAGTTGACTACTACTTCTGTGCACTGTGTTTTTACTTTTCTGTTGTTTTTGTCCTAACTATTATTGTTCATTATAAACATTCATGTGTTTATTCTATTCAGTAACCTTCTCTAGGTTACAACACTATAAATCTAAAAAATAATGATTTTAGAAAAATATTTGATTATCTCAATATTCCAAATACCTGAATAAATTATTCTATTATTTTACATGTTATTATTGACTCCTTGATATTCTATAACCTTCAATAGGCTTTTAGTCCATTGATTTTTATTAACTTTTCTACAGCTTTTATTGTTTCTCTGAGAATCTTTGCTTGAATATTGTTTCCCCATCCTCGTATGCATCTCTTTATATGACAAGCTTTTCTATTGGATTAATATCTAGAAAGGCTGATTAGGATCCTTCAATAATTTTGTATCTTTTAAAGGTGGGCATTAATCAGCTTTGCAAAATCTGAAGAAAGCCAGTTGTTCTGTTCCACTTTGGCCAACTTCAATGTTTCTCTTTGTGACTATTACTTAAAGGAAGGCGAAATAATTTGGTTGCTTTCATGTTGTCAACAATGTTCTTAAGATTCAGCATCACTTTACAGTTGCAACATCAAATTCTTCAAATAATTTCTTATTACTTTGTACATTCTTCTAAAGTCCCTGCTTTTATGACTTTCATCAAGCAAGCTTTTCTCTTCTCTCTCTTTTTAAATTGTCAATGTTTTCAATTTCTATTTTGATTGCTTTATGACCTCTGGTCAGTTTTCTCAAAATCTCCAGCATTATGTTCCTGTTTCTTAATAACTTCTTTCTGTCCAGAGGTTAAATCTTTCCTACGACCCCTAGGAATCTTTATCCAAAATGAAAAGGGAATATCAATAACTGTGCTATTATCTTATTGATTTACAAGCGGATGGACAATCCTAAAGTTGCCTGATAAAATCTCATGCTGCCAAATATGTTTAATAAAAACGGATACTGAAATTTACATGGCATCTTTATCATAAATGCCAGGATATCTGAACAATGTTACCAACATTGGTTACCTAATGCCAATTATATTTTGAACATTGACTTGCATAAAATCTGACATCAAATCATAAATATTGACACAAATTTATGATTGATGTCTACATCCAGACATGTATATCATTTTATTTTGGCATGAAAAATGTAAGGGTACGCATTTTTATATCTGAATACATATGAAAATAGATATTTTCTCTCCCTCACACGTTTGTTTGTTTCAAATAATAATCCGTTTTCTCACTGCATTTTGTGTTTATTCATGTTTGATTTTTATGCTAACATTCTTAAACCAATCAGATACTGTGATGCGGAAGTGGGAGGGGCTTATGA